TGACCTAATTGAACCAAAATTTAATATAGAAGGATAAATTGATCAATGCTTGAAAAAAGAAAAAAAGAAGCAGGGTAGAATCTTTAACTTGTTTCACCAACAGGCTATAGAGAGAGGCTAAATTTTGTTCAGAAAATGTAGAAGTTTACTTTACAAACAAACCATGAGGAATTTTTCCCTTTATTTTCCACAAAACAAGATCAAAACCCTAAACCTACACCGAACCAATCGAAAGAGCTCACCAGCAGTAGAATGTTTGCTTGGTCGGCAAAAGTCCAGCTCAGATCATACTCGTTCTCACCCTCCGACAGCGGCATTAACCATGTCTTAAGCAATATCAGGAGTGAGGCAAAGATCTAATGGAAAATCACAATAAAGTACCTTTTTAATACTACTAATGATCCAAAATTTTAAAATTAACTAAATTTAAGGGGCATATTGACTAAACCAAAACTTTTAAAGGGGGGGGGGGATCAACTGACTAAACCATACATTTTTCTCATCGCTATATCGAACAAAAAACATTGAGAGAGCTCACCTGTAGCAGAGTTGGCCTATTGTTTTCTCGGCGCACCATCCCTGGCAATGGATTCAGCACACACACAGAGGTAGAGAGAGAGGGGAATTTTACATTGTACGCAGCTGAGCTGAAGGGGGGTTTATAATGAAGGCGACTTCACTTCACTCACACTCATTCAAATTCTCCCTCTGAAACTACGCTCTATAATTCTAAGCCAAATTTCTAAAAGATATTTGACAATTTTCATTTTTTTTTTTGGATACAAAAGATATTTGAGAAACTTGGGATTAGCGTGAAGACTGAAATGAACGAAACTTCACTTTGAGCATAAAGTTTATTTGCCAACTACCCCTCCCCCCCCTTCCTTCCTGTTCAGCTGTTATGAGTAATGCCTCTCATTCACTAGACGCCATATCCACTGACCCCAAATAGAATGCCCATTGATATCTCAATTGAGGTGGGGCCCACGACATGCTATTCAGTTTTTTTTTTAATGTTTTCTTTTCTGCTTTTTTTTTTTTAAAGTCCACTATGGGCGGTCGCCTTTTAATAAAACTGATTTAAAATAGTAGGTCTTAAAAAAAGCTTGTAAAAGTTTATTTGCAGAATCCCCAAAATAAATTAAATTTATATTATATACCAGGCGCAAACTTAATTTAATTTTTTTCTATTTTATTTTTTATTTGGTATATAGTGTACATTAAGTTTCGATGACGCTTCCAATAATTTTTTATTTCACTAAAATTGTTATCACAATTTGACGCTACTAATTTCCTCATAACTATTTTAGTAGCGTCATCGAAACGTCATAACAATTTGACTAGTTATTAGTAATTAAATACACTGAATCACTGATGGACTGAGATCTTCCTAATCACCTTCAAACACTGTTATATATATGTGGGGCTCACTTGGAAAAGGCAGACATGGAGCAGTCAAGGTAAGTGCAATGTCATGAAAATCAAAGTGAATATTGAATCAGTTCAGATATTGATTTATGATTCAATAGTCAGATTGCAGTTGGTGCAAATCAATTATAAATAAATTAATATATTTTAAATATTATTTAAAATAAAAATAAATAATCATATATAATAACAAAAATGAATATTTAAATTTTAAATAAAATAATATATAATAAAAAATATAATATCCATCGATATCACATCATTTTCATTAAGAGTGTTCACGGGACAAGACGGGATCAGGATACCCCCGTCCCGTGTCCTGTCCCGAAAAAAAGATCGGGATTAAATTTTGGTCTCGTGTCCCGTCCCGTCCCATTAAGAGTCGGGACGGGACCGGGACAAGATCGGGACGTCCCGCCATCCCGATAAATGAAATAATATCGAAAAAAAATCTGAATAATAATGTTCATTAAAATTTTAAATTATATAATTTATTAAATTTAAAATCAAAATAACACAAGTACATGAATAACAATAATTTAAAATTAATTATTGAATTATATTAATCACAACTATATATTATAATAAAAAATACAAGTGATCTTTATGCTATAAGATTAGCAACAACAGGCAGGTCAAACACAACATTAAATAATTATTTTTCTACTTTAGTGAAGATGTACTAAGCTAATTACTCTTCTAAAAATAAGCAAGAAATATGTTATAAATAAAAGTTATTAAATAGATAGATATAAGAATAAATTATATTAATATAATTAATATATTATAAAAAAAGATATCTCCATATTTACTCCATGCCATTAAAATTATCAATATAAAAACACTTTAGTTTTAAATAAGAATTGTAAGTATTAAAATTATAATTGATATAATTAATATAAATATAAATTATATTAATATAATTAATATATTTAAAATAAAAAATAATATATATAATATTCGGGACGGGACGTCCCAATGGTAATCCTGTGTCTCATCCCGTCCTGAACTCCTTTCCCGTCCCGTCTCGTAAAGTCTCGTCCCGATTATTTTGGGGTCGGGACAAGACCTGTCCCGATATGATCGGGACGATACCGAGCCAATCGGGACGGGTCCAAATAGAACACCCCTAATTTTCATCCAAAACACGTACAAGTATTTCATAATTTATAATTTATAACTTTAAAATATACACATATATACATAATTCATACATATTTCTTATATTTTTTATTTCATAATGCTTATTAGATATAAATATGTATAAATTATAATTTAAAAATATGAATTAAAAATAAAAAATAAAAAAAATAATATAACCGATTCTTACCTGGTTTTGGCTAGTTCTATCGGTTCTTGGCTTATTATGCCTGTTCTTGAAATTTTTAATTTTTTGTAATGACTGGATCGAATGTGGAACTGGTTCTCGGTTGAACCAGTTCGACCGATTGATCTGGTTCGTTTTTAATAACACTGGGTAAGAGATATTTTTAGTCTACTTTTTATATTCATTAACATTCTTCCGCTTCTACTTTTTATCACTTGTACCTGCTTTACAAAATGATATGAGATGCTTCCAATAGTCTCAAATTATAAAATAATTTTAAAAATATTTTTATTTTAATTTGAAAAGATAAAGTTTTATTAATAATACTCACTCACACTGCTTTGTTATTTCATGTTCGTCTCACTTACATGCAGTTCCGTTTTCTCTCTCACATTCATCTTTAAAAAAAGTTATTTTTGAAAGTTTCTCACAATTAAACTCTCAGTGGGTACTAAAAATGAATTTAGAATTGTGGAAGTTCTTAAACCAATAATTTAAAAGCCAATTTACAAACCCAATGTTTTTGTACCGATAAATTCCTTCATTTTTCCCCCCTTCTTTTCCCTTCCTCTGAGTTACCTCTGCGTCTCTCTTCGTTCTCCAACACAATACACGACACAGATAGAGGGACATACTTTGCCAGTTAGGTATTCTATTATACACCCCCCCCCCCAACACACACACATATATTATAATTTTATTATATATTATATTATATTTTTAGGTTGAAGAAGCTCAATCTAAATTAAATAATATAATAGTACTGATGGCATATAATAAAGGCCTATAGATTAAGTTATCATACGGTTCATAGTTACTTTCTAAGAATGTTCTTTGATTAGTGATACTCTTCCCCATTTCTTGTGCTTTAGGATTGTCGTGAGACTTGAGAGATTCTACTTTAAATTATCTAAAAATGATAAGACATAATTTTAAATTTTCTGTTGCATCTTTGTGTGTGAAAAATTTATATAAATATTTTTAATGGAGCTTATCTAACTTGGGGCATAGGGGTAGAGGTAGGAAATAGACAAACTTAACCCATTTCAGCTCAAGCCCTTACACTTACTTTTACAAAAATTGACTGATTTTTAAAGTTTGGCCCTTATTTAAAAGATTCTTGACTGAACTATAAACTCTTTATTATTATTTTTTATTTTTTTAAATTTTTAAAAATTTAAAATTTAAATTTTTAAAAATTTAAAATTTAAATTATAATATTTCATATTTTAAAAATTTAAATTATAATATTAAAAAATTAAAAATAAAATAATAAAAAATTTAATTTTAAAATATAAATATATATTTTAAAGTTTAAATTAAATTTAAAAGAATAAACATATTTTATTTTTTTTAAAATTAAAATGAAAAGGGCTTAAAAGGTGCCTAAGCCCATTTTTTAAGGGCTCATCAAGGCTTGTCTTTAAAGTCCAATTTTTCTATAAAATATTATTTTTAAATTTAAACCCTTATAAAAATACATTTAAATAAACTTAAGTATATTTTAAATTATTTGTAAATATGGTTTGTGATGAATATAATACAGGGTACAATACAATATAATCACGAGCATGGTAAGAAGTAAGAGTTATTATCTTCGGCGACAAAAAACGGTAAGAACTATTCTTTCATCATTTTCTTTTGTCTCTTTTTCCTTTTTTTAACATCTTTTAATCATAATTGGTTCCTAGAATAATATTTCTGTTGGTGAATAACTCTTGTTTTAGTTTAGACAATCACTTAAACTACTAAAGATGTTTCTGAAATCATTTTCCATAACAATAACTTTCGGCTGCGTTTTTGCTTATCTTTTATTTTTATTATGCTGCTTCACATCTTTTATCCCTTGATGAGATTTTATTATGTATGTGCTCTAAATTATTGTGTGTGTGTGTGTGTATAATTTAGAAAGCCAGTTTCCGCCATATCATAATGATTATTTTTGTATATATATAACTTCAAATTTGGAGGCATCATAACTAAACCAGCTTGATCATGAGTCTTGTAATAACCCAAAAATAAAATTGTACAAAATAAATTTATATTAAAGTATTTTGATTTCAGTTTTATTAATTTTTGGTATAGATGTGACAAACAGGGATGGTAGTCCAATGGAATATTTTGCTTTGGGCTTTTGGTTAAAATTACTATAATGCCCCTTCAAGTTGATAATGACATTACAGCACATCAGACTATTTTTAAGGCTCTTCTTCCTCATTTTCTCGACTTCTCCAGGACAGAGGGAGTGAGCTTAGTTCTTCACTCTTCGTTGACCCTCTACCCTCCTTTTCGTTCCGTCGCCGGCAACTGTGAACGCCGGAGTCTTCCTCTTCATCTTCTTTTGCAATTGACGCCGACGGCCTTCTTCCTTTCCCGAGCTAGCTGGCTCGTTTCTGGACTGGGATAGGGCAAGAGAAATCTGTTGCCGTCTTCCTCCTCTTTGTAGCTCGCTGCCGCTGTGGGTAGATGTCGGAGCTCCATCAATCACCTGAATCGTGAGTTCCGCTTCCTTTTGTGCCGTTGATTTCCTCTCTTCTTTCCTTAGCTCACTGTTCTTCTCCCTCCTCTGTTGCTATCATGCTCTAGGTGCTTCAATATTTTACTATGGGAGTTAATCTATTGTTGAAAGAGGTTCCGGATTGAGGCCGTCCCTCTTCCCTTCCTTCTCGATTTTCTGTGGGTTCAATTTTTTTTATCTTAGTTGCTCTGTTGTGGCTGATGTTCTATACGAAATTTTAAATTTTCCTCTTCCTTGCCTGATTCGTGCGTGCTTGAATGGTGGAGATTGTGATTCTTTGATCTGCTGTTGCTGTGTGTTCGAATAGGAAGGAAGTGTTTGAACAAGCTGAAATTTTTAGTCTAATGAGAAAAATGAGGATATATTGTGGACTTTGAATTTTATTTGAGCTCAAATTGATTCTTGATGGGATATGAGTTTGAAAAGTGTGAGAAATCTAAACGTGATGCTGAAAATTTTTGAGCAAATAATTGATGTATGAGAGACTCCATTGTATGAATTAGAAATTGTTGCACATTAAGTGTTTGTTGAAAGGTCTGAAAGAGAATTATATCTCTTTATTAATATATAATTGTTGGATAAGAGATTTGAATGTTGAAAAGTCTTGTTGGATGGTTTGAAACTCATGCACATGAGACGTTTGACATAATATCTCATTAAAATAGTTAGTTATAGCTAGTGTGATATGACATAAATTGGAAATGAATGATGATGTTTGGAAAAACTTAAGATGCAAATTCCAGTGCTTTTAGAGTTTTGAATGGCTATAATGATTGGGGTTGCATTAGTTGTCAAAAGGAGTTTATATAATTATAGGAAGTTAATTGAAATTTCATGTGTACATATTCTTATAGGGTGTGTAGAAGAAGATGACTTTGATAAGTGATGGAAAGGAGAAATCTTTGAGTTTTAGCAATTTGACAGGTAAGTGAATAGCATCCTAATTGATTAAAAAAAATCTAAAATATTATATTATATATATTTTAAAGAATTATTTTAGTAACAATTTTTTTAAATGTGAGATATTATTTATCAACTTTGATAATTTTGGTTTCACAATAAATTCAAGCAATTTACTTTCCTCAAAATTTTGATTAAACATATTTATATATATAATATACATATTTGATGTTATGATTTAATCTTGTTATCAACTACTATATTTGAAAAATTCTTGCACTCATTAAATTTTATGAAAGGAATTGGAAATATTATTTCAAATAAATGTTTGTAAGTATTTATTTTGTTAATATTGATTGATCTCATAGTTAGAGAACGATTATTTATTATGATTCATACATAGAAAAGTATTGAGGATATTATTTTATTTTGATTATATCGAAAAGAACAAAAAAAAGTTTATTTTATAACCCATGCTTGATTTAAATTGGGGGATTGATTTCAAAACATTGGTTACTAACGACAGTCTCGTTAGCCCTTAGCGTGTCATGGTATACCTAGTTAGTAAGGTATTTGTAGGAGGTGTTAGCCTTGTGCGAAGGCCAACGCACGTGAATTGGAGGGATGGTAATTTGTGAGTATTGTACTCACGCTTGTTTTCGTGGGCCTTAGGCCTTGCGCTTGATTCGTGGCTCCTGTCGTGCTTAATTGGTTACTTATCCTCGTGGACTGTGTGTTCATATTTGTTAATCGTTTTGATTGAGTCCTGCAAATTATGAAACTTTGAAATTTATTGTCTTTTAAAATGATTTTGTTAAACAAGCTATTTGCTTGATTGTGCATAAGATGAATTATATAATTCAGTTGTCCAAGGCAAAGGTTATCACTTGGGGATTTAAACTTGATGTCTCTATTGCCCTTAATGAACCTTGTATTTATTTAGTTTACATATTTTTATAAGATTATTTGAACTACGCAATCTGTTTTATTTTTATTATAATATTGGTTATTAGTGTGAAATTTAAATTGTTTTATAAATATTATTTCCCTCTACTTTCTTTAAATCTAAATTGGGACATTATTTATAGAAAAGTTAATTTTGGTCTCAGATTCATTAGATGCTGTTGAATCTCTTACTAACTTTTGGGGGTCTTATGGCTGGGCCAGGTGGAGATTTGATTGAAATTATTTTCTTGTGATGTAATTATAGAATTGATGTATTTTATTTTGAAAATATGGCTAGGTGCTCCACATAGACTATAAGTAGGGTTCTATTGTCACCATATATTTTGTTTGTTGGTTGAAAGAGCAGAGCTCCTGGTTATTGCGGTATTTTGCCTAAAAGTTGTATTGTAGAATTTTTGAGAGGTCTTAAATAGAGGGGAGGTGTTGCCAAATTTCTGCAAAAATTATGAAACCTTTTGTTTGAATTAATTGCATGGAAGATGGTCTAATCCTTGATAAATTAGGTACATGGTCTTAAAGTCAAATCTCTAAATTTCAGGCTTTATGGATGTATATTTATGCATATATCCTGTGTCAATTACATTCAATTTTTGGGGCGTGACAAGTTTCCCCATAACTTGTTTCGCAATGATCTCTGTGGGTAGTGCATGCAAAACAATCACCAGTAAGGTAAGAAATAAGATAACTATTCTTCCATCAGCTCTTTGATTTTTTATTCTTTTTAAGTGTCACTGTATCTCCGCACCATGTATTGATCTTCTTCCCTTGCTTCCATTATTTTCATGGTAACAAGGAGGAGGTAAATGAAAATACTCTAAGCTAAGGTAAAGAATTACTCTAGGCCAAAAAGTAGAAGGTATGCTTTCTAGTTTGATGAAAATATCTTATACATTGCATATTCTTCATTTTAGCATGTTAAGAAACTCGTGTATTTATCCTGTTATCATCTTTCTTATGCAAAAATTCAATAGCACAGATATAGAAATTACAATGCCCTCTACGAATTTCATGAATCATGAATTTTCACCTCATGTAAATTACCCTTCTCTACATAAATAATATTGATCAATACCTATCTTCCCTTCATGTTATCAGCAACCAAATGGGCTCTGTACCTGTCAAAAGAAAGGGAAAGGCAAGAATGGTCTTCTACGTCACTCTTTAATGCTTTAGTAATTGAATATAACATGGATTCCACACTGGTAAGATATGTAGTTGTGTGACTCTTGGTTGGGAACCACGCCGTTTAACGCCATTTCCTTTGTGAATTTTGTTGAGCAGTATAAGAAATACACCCAGGAGTAACAGAATAATGAAAATGGACCACCATGGCAGCTGCAGAATCAAACATATCAAAAGGGAAACAGCTAGAGGGCCAGACACTGATGCAAGCACTTCAAACCGAGAAGCGAAATCACGAAACATAAACTTCGCTATTGTCGTGGAGTAATATGCTACTGAAAATACAAGAGAAGCTATGAATATTATAGGATGAAGTTCGAATGGTGAAGGATTGTTGGTTGAACTTCGTATTTGAAGGAAGCTAAGTAGAACTGTAATCAAGGGAGCGAAAATCAAGTCGGAGGGAAAGGCTTCACGAGAGAAGGCATTGGCGTTAAAGAACATAGCAAATTCTTGTCTTCTTGAGTACAAGTTGTGGCCATGGCTGTTGCTGTAATAAATTGTCTCACTTTGCTGTAAAGAACAGTATATGAAGTCCTGCATGTGATTATACAATGTGTAGGCACAAGCCTTTCTTAATACATTTCTCTATATCAAGTTAAACCATATATATGAATAGTTAAATGGATAGATAAAATTAAATATGAGAGGACGTAAGGAGGAGGTAAGGGGAAAGGGTATAAAAGAGTTCCATATTGTTTTTCAGAGGATAACATTAAGCAGCAACCAATAGCCACGCATTTTATTTTATTTTATTTCAATTACATGCATATGTTACTCGTTTATTTAGAAAAATAATACATAAAATTTATCTAAAGTTAAAAGATATCTATATATATATATATATATATATATAACTCCTTTGTTTATTGAAAATCTATTTTATCTGCATATTTTTTGAGAGAAATTGCTGAAAGGACCCGGAGATAAAATTATATTAGAAAAAAGTCCAGCATTTTTCGAAGGAATTAAAATTCTTGGTCCATCAAGTCATTTCTCATTTGACCTTAATTTCTTTGAAGGATTTTGGCCCTTTCTTTTCCAGAAAAAAAAAAAAAAAATCTCTTGTTCCTTTTTAATAATTTCTCCTCATTTTTATTTGGCTTTGGCTACTGAATCTTAATATTAATTTTTTAAAACTAAAATATCCTTATTTAAAATGAATATTTTTTTATTGCTTTTAAGTATCCTTCTATTGAAAGCAATTATTTAAACAATTTCATTAGTCAAAACTAAACTAATTTAATTTTTATATTTTCAAAAATTGTTTAGTGTGTTATAAAGTTAAAAGATTTCCTATGCAAGTGACACTGTATAAAAGGGTTAAATAGCAAATTAATCATTAAATAATAAATTCACGAGTATTTAGAATCCTAAACTCATTTTTAATACAATGTCACCCCTATGGTTAACAAAGATTAATTTTAATGGTTAGTTAACCAAAAAATATAGAAAATAACTAAAAAAATTACAAAAAAGAAAAGAATTCAAAAATTGCACAAAAAGACCCAAAAATTATAGAAAAGAACTAAAAGTTAACTCATTTTAGGCATATTACACCATTTTGAAATGTTCAAAAGAAAGATTGTACCAAAAATAAATTTAGGGCTTCATATACTCCTAGACTTGGCTTATAGTTTGGGGGTAAATTTACAATTTAACCTATACAAAATTCAATTTCAAAGACATATTTGTTATATACTTTGATTCTTATTATAAGACATCTCTAAGTACATCATTGAAACCAAGAAAAGATATTTAATTTATTAAATTTGTCTAAAAATACAATAAATTTTTAATTTTATTTCTATTAAATAATAAATTTTTAAAAGTTAAATTCCATTCTCTCTTATACTTAATGAATTTAAAAATGAGTAATATTGAAAAAAATATAATTAACATAATACCCTTATACTAAAGCGAATAATCTTTATAAAAAGCACCTTGTAATAGGTGCTCAAATTATAATTAAATTTTTTTAAACACATTGATTTAAATTTATTTATTTAGAAATCTTTAAACTCAATCAGAAGTTACATCGATCCTCCACACATGGATATTTCTCAATTTTGCGCTCTAAATTATAAAAAACATAATTTTTTCTCTTATAAAGAGCTTTTTCTGTATTTATAGAATTTATGTAGTCTAATTTATCGAAATAAAGAATTTATATAGACGTAATTAAAGATTAAAAAATTGCTACTTCAAGTCTTTGACCATTCACTCTATTTTTGAGGTCATTTTCCATTAACATAAATTATATCTTTTTGGACTAGAATATTTTTATTTAACATAAATATTATTTTACTGGTAAAAAAACATAAATATGATTTTAAAATCATTGAAAAAGTTATCTGACGGAAAAAAAAATCATTTCAACACATGTTTCAAATTTTTTTTATCATATTACAAATTTAATTAGTTTTATAATTTTAAAAATTTAGACACCTTTATTTAAACTGCCTTAATTGCGAGAACTTTTAATTATAGATGTTGGATTGTGTGTGTGTGGGTGACAAGATGACCTAATTGAATCAAAATTTAATATAGATGGATGAATTGATCAATCCGATTTATATCCATACAATTTTAATTAATAGATATTTTTTATATTTTAAACTCAACATAACTAGCCCCAACTATCTAGCTTTTATTATTAAATTTGCCTAATTGATAGGACGATGATAATAAATTAGATTATGGTACAAAATAAAGGGAAAGTATCTATAATTGAGGTGGGATTAAAAAAAAAAAAAAAGAATCAAGAATCTTCAACTTGTTTACCAACAGGCTACAGAGAGAGACTAAATTTTGTTCAGAAAATGTGAAAGTTTACTTTACAGACAAACCATGAGGAATTTTTCCCTTTGCTTACACCAACACCACAAAACAAGATCTAAACCCTAAACCCACATCAAACAAAACAAGATCTGGGGAGGCAAAACTCCAGCTCAGATCGTACTCATTCTCACGCTCCGACGGCGACATTAACCATGCCAAGAGCTTCTTGAGCAATAGCAGGAGTGAGTTGAAGATCTAATGGAGAATCACAATGAAGTACCTGTTAATACTACTAATACTAAATTTTAAAATTAATTAAATTTAAGGGGCATGGTGAAAGGAAATGGTTTAAGGTCTGCATACAAAAAGGGGAAAGATGGCGAAAGCCAGAAGAGGGACAGATGCAGGTAGAGAATGCCTTTGGCCCTCTTTACTTACCCCAGAAAAACAGGGGATCAACTAACTAAACCATACATTTTCTCATCACTTTATCAAACAAAAAACATTGAGAGCTCACCTGGAGCAGAGTTGGCCTATCGTTTGCTCGGCGCGCCATTCCTGTCAATCAATCAAATAACGAAATGGATTCAGCAGAGAGAGAGAGAGAGAGAGAGATGAATGTATTGATCACAGTTTTTGGGGCTGTTTATATAGTGCCTTCTGCGGCAAACACTTGGTAGGATGGAAATTTTTATAAAAATGGGCTTATAAAAATGTCATTTTCTCGACTCTGGGGAAGGGGTCCGCTTTTGGGTCTTGTCAGTTCTAGTGCGCATCCTAAATTTAGCACCGTGTATTCACTATTCAGTACCAGAACACTGTCATTTGTGGTATTAGTTTTTTTCAAACTATAAAATTATTACAATAATAAATAAATATTCATCTATTAAAATTTAACTTGAATAGTTTAAATAAAAATTTTAATTTGAATAATTTAAAATTTTATTAAAAAAATTTTAAAAAATAATCTAAAAAGTTTAAAATAGAAATTAAGTTTAACAAAATGAACTAATTTCTGACAATGTAATAGATCAACGTTTAAATATTTGTTAAGAGAAGTATATATATATATATATATATAATATTCGATCATGTCCTGATTGATATTACATCTTATAAATAGATAACTGTGCAAAATTAATAAAAATAAAAAATGTTTTATAAAATAGTTTTAGTTACAATGATAATTTTTTAGTACAGTTTTAAATTAATGTAACTAAAATTTATATATAAACTGTTGAAGTCAACTTTTAACTAACTAAAATTATTAATTTATTAAATATTAAAATAATAATTTTATAATATTTATTTATTGTTATTATAATAATCTTGTGGTTTTGGGGAAAAAAAACTAACACTACAAAACGGCAGTGTTTTGATCTCATCATCGATTAGCACCACGTTGCTCATCATAGGTTAGCAAATCTTTTATGTGTCTACCGACTATCGAGGGAAGGATTAAGGAAAGTGGGAGGAAATGGGATGGGATTGGGAAAAACTGATGGCCACTTCGGTTTTTCAGAAAAGGAAATGGAGAGAAAGTAAGGCTCATTCTTTCTAGAAAGAAAAAAGTAAGGCTCATTCATCGCGAGTGAAAAATAATAAAGAATAAACAAATGTATACAATCAGACTGAGCCTAATACAAATTTTATCTAATGGACTGGAACTAGTACATATCATATTGGGCTTCTGTGGAGAGCTACTATTGTCTTATCTGTGTTCATCAGTGTGGTGACCATCCAGATATTTAAAATATCATTATATATTAAATATCATTAAAATAAAAATTTATAAAAAAATTATAAAAAATAAATTTTTTTATCATTAATCTGGTCTAGATTTAATTTGAAGTGTTTAATTTAATATTATAATTTTTATATATTAATTATCTAGATGTATAGTTTAGATCTCATCATATTAATGAGCACCATTAATAAGCACCAAAGATTAACCCAATGGATGGTGGGGACTTGACACTTGCCATGATTATGGGACTTACCCTAAAAAATCAACGGACATCTACTCTTTGTAAAGGTCCAGGAAAATTGCACTTGTTAAGACCTGTTTATGAGCATTTTTCCATCTTTATTTACTCAAGGATATTGAGTGCTTTAGAGAAAAGATTATGGATACTTTTACCCTTTAATTATATTAATTATAATTGTAGAGTTCTTTTCATTTTGTTTCTAATATCTTCATAGACTTCAAAATTTAATAGTTGTTACACGAGAAAAAATCATTTTAATACATATATTTCTAAATTTTTTATGATATTATATTGAGATAGTGACCAAGAAGCTCAGATTCCCAAAAAAAAAATTATGATAAATGACTCAAAAATTAAAGAGTAGATCTAAAAAACTTTTGTTGATCTTTTTTTTTTATATAATTTTTGATGTTTTTTTAATTTTTGTTATTTTCTAGTCAAATAGTAGTTAAAGTTAATTTTTATTAATGAAAAAGGTCAGATTATATTATTTTTAAAAGTTAAATAAAATTAGTATTAAAAAATAAACTAAGATCTTAGACACCATGGGACCTACAGCTTAGAGGTGAATTTACCCAAGAAAGAAAATTAAACTTCTTTATTTTGAAGCCCTGTTGAAATTACTATAATTTTAATTTTGGAAAAAATATATAAAATCTACCTAAAGTTAAAAGATATCTATATATATAACTCCTTTAATTATCGAAAATCTATTTTATCTGTATAATTTTTAAGGAAAAATTGCTGAAAAGGACTCAAAATAAAATCATATTAGAAAAAGTCCAACATTTTTCAAAGGAATTAAAATTCTTGATCCGTCAAGTCATTTCTCATTTGAC